AAGTTTTTACCCACTGGAAGTTAGTCTGCTGAGTGCTGCTACAACACCCTTGAAGCACCCTTGAGCCTCATCCATGGAGAAGACACCAGCCACAACAGTTACACCACAGTTCGTATGAATATTCAGAGCACTTCCTGCACTACAATTGCTAAATCGATCAGTTAAATCCGAAATACAAGTCACTTGATTGAAATTAAAAATCACAGCAACAGAACTGAAGTACGGTCAGTTTCTTTCCGCCATGCTCTGTGTGTCTCCTAGCGGCCTTATCTACAAAATTATATGCAAAGGTTGCACGCCTTCTTTTTTTGGAAGTAACCTTTTAAACATTTGATGATTCAATAAGGTGGTTTCATGCTCATCTATGTGTTAGAGAGACTCCAAAAAGGCCAATCAGCCAAAATGGAAAATATGAATGGGACTGATGTTGTTGCAGAAACCCTCTGGTGCCAGATGTGATTCCACCCATTTTCCTACTCTATAAATACGATCAAAAACTGTAACAGAAAAAGATCCGACTAAGCAATAGTCTCTAATCCATGTGGTGTTCTCTCAATGCTTTTAAACTGAAATACAGAATCTGTCCCACTGCTGTGGTCGTGAGAGTTTCGTCAAATAAGAACGTGCTCATGGGCCACATAACAGTTGAGAAAACAATGTGAGAACAAGCACGGGGGGTAAATAGCTACAGTAAGACGTCTTTTTCGGAGATAAGCCACAGCGATGAGACAGAACATTGCAAACAGACACTGTAGAGGAAGCTCAGCCTATAAGTGGTTGTGGTAAATTCCCCTTCTCTATCTGCCATCAGACCAATCACCTGACATCATCTTTACCCTCGTTCTTTATTTTTAACAATTTTAGCTGACAACATGAAAGGTCAAAGAGGAAGAGACGAGTACACACAGACTCTTGAGTGGTAAAGAGCTCGGCCGCCTCCGACTGAAGCTGTATTTGGTGTTGTTTGAAATTTTCCAATACTGGTGCTAATATGATACCCATATTTTATGACCTATACAAAAAAAAACTTTTTCAATAGTTTATTTTGAGGAAGATAAACACATTTTCTTTACAAAACAAACCAAATTTCACAAACATATCAGTGTTTAATGTCGTCCCACAAGAACTTTGCCAAACATGACAAAATAAAATGAGCAAAACTATGTTTTAAATTACTTAAATAATCTGACAAAAACTCTAAACATCGTGCCTAAAATGTGTTTTCCACAGACTGAGAAGATACAACAAACAAGCCCCTTTTTACTGGAATCTTTCATACCATTGCTTGCATTACTCCACTGATGTAGGGTAATGATACGCTGCCTTTTACACCATTAAGTCACAGGTGATGCAGTGTGAGCTAAGTGTACATTAAATCTGACTCTTTGCTCCAGGTCAGGCGGCCTAAAGCGGCGCTCCACTTAGCCGCAGTAGTTTCCATTCTCCCGCTCTTCGTTCGGCATTACCAATCCATCACTCAAAAGCAAAAGGGGATTAAACATCTGTCAAAGCCTGCCCGTTTCACCCAGCAGGAAAAAGACACATTGAGGCGTCGTGCATCCCCCCCCCCGGTGATTTAACGTCCTGTCTGACTCTGTTATTGTGTTATTTGGAGCTTCCTGCTGAAACCGCAGACAAGAAATTCTGTTCTTGTGAATTTGTCACCCACCGTAAGTCCTCCTATCACCGTCTCTATGTCCCCTTCTTTCAGTCTATCCACCATTAGTAGGCCGTCATGTGCTTTTTATCTGCTACAGACCTCCATTTGATTCCCTGTGGAGCTTCATCCTTCCCATCAGCTGCTCCACCCCTTCCCCACCTGCTCATTCTTCTGGTTTCCTCCCTACTCAACCCTTCCATCAAAAGCCCTCACGTCCCATTACTCCATCCTTTTCCTTCTCATCCATCGGTCAAAACAAATACCGTCTGCCATCCCTCCATCCCCATCTTAGATCACCCTGCCTTTCCCGTTTTCAGTCTCTCCTCTGTCATTCATCACGCTTCTTCCTTCCTCCCTTTCTCTCTTTCTCCTCAAATCAGCTGCTTTCACCACTCTATCCCTCTGTCCTTCCATCACCCTTTAGCTCTCCTGCACTCCCTCTCTTCTCCCCCCTTACTTCCTCCCTCCATCGGTTCTGGCTGCAGCGTCCTTCACCCTGGGTCTGTATTCAGAGTGATTACATGCTTGGTTAACTCATTCATGGACTCCACTCTGTCAGTGACGCACGCTGGACGCATGCCTGCTTGCTTCCAATGCAATCAGCTCACTCACACACAAACACCCATACACACCTTGCCCGCACATATAAACAATAGACAACGTGTGACTTTAACATGCAGGTAAACACAAACTCTCAAAAATACAGAAACGCTGTTAGTCTTGGTCGGTGCGGTAAAGGTGTTACAGCTCCACAGACAGCTGGCACTGATAACACATTGTAGATACCCCACTTCACTTGTAATGAATAAACAATTGTAGTTCATAGATGAGCATGACTCATTTATCTGTGAGAGTTTAGAGCATGACAAACGACTTAATTTAAAGGGCGCCACTCCACACAAGAAGATTCAGTAACTTCCTTAAGATGGAGAATATGAATTAATGCCGATTACATTTAGTAACATCCATGATAATCCTGACCGCAGACGGTGGCCTTCTCTTTCACTCGTATGCAGTTCTTCCCTTTCCTCACTTCCTCCAACGGCGAGACGTGACTGGGTGGTGCTTTTGAATTCCTAACAGATCACTAAGCAAACCAGCTTATGGCTGACAGCACCAACCGTTTGGGCAAAAATTTATAATTATTTCATGCGAGTGACTTAGGGGAAAAAGGAAGAGGAGGTTTAAGATCTATAAAATCACATTTACAACTGAGAGAACTGATGCAACTTGAGACGAGTCAATGCAAGAACCAGTTACCAAAAACAGGAAAACAAGTGTCAGAAGGAGAAAAAAAAAAAAAAAGACAGAAAGCTCTCAGAGAGTGAGCACTTTTATCAAAACTGCACAACGTGTTCAGGGATTATAGTTTATGTGAATAGGCCGTGCATTGAAAAAGGAAATACCAAGAACACATCCTTATTTTTCTCAGGGTCATTCAAATTTAATGTTTGCCGGGACTGGATGAAATGTAATGTTGCTCATACACCTCACGGTTCAGGAGTTATGACTGAGGATGTTAACAGTTTCACAAAAGTGGCAATGAGGTGTCGCCTTCTGCACACAAAACTCACCACATTTTCCTCTGCCTGTGGCCTAACTGTCTAATCTGTCAGGCACTTTAACTGACTGACATACAGAGAGCATTTCTTAGCAAAGGTATTAGTAAACACTAGTATTCTGGTTGGGGGGGGACGTATAGAGCGGACTGCATCGTTATCTTTCAGATAAAATGTCCTGATGTGAAGAAACACCCCTGTCAACATGCCTCCACCCTCCCTCAGTCCTGATCTGGCCTCACACTGCTGCGACCAGCCCCGTCAACCTGATAACCAGTCAGCAAATAAAAAAAACAAACAATAACCTCACAGCGACACATCTTACTTGTGCAAGTCCAAACCTTTTGTGACACGCCAAAAAAAAGGGCCTGATGTTTCTCCTGTGTGGAAACATATCTGATCTCACTGCGTTTCAGTGACACTAAAGCTGACCACGTGGATGAAACCGTGTTAAAATACAGAAAAGGGAAATCACAAACACACCTTGGATTGTGAGTCCCCTCCTTCACTTAACTTAGATTCTGTGCAAACAGCGTAGTGTTTGCACAGCAAATACATAAGTAAATGCAAGATAACGCATATGAGCTCTGCAACAGCAGTCTGGGGCCGGTAAGTTACTCTATCGCTCACACTGATGTCAAGAGGTTAATCCTGAATACAGTCATCACGGCCTTGATGTTTTCTTGGCTGTATAGCAAGTGTGAGACTGACTGACATCTCGAATACAAGTCGTACTAACCACCAGCTCTCCCTTAAACGCATCACTTGAAACAAAAAGTCACACATCTGCGTCTGTCAACCGTCACCTGCAGCATCAAGGCAAAAAAAAACTACACAAAGCAGGGAATAAACACAATATGTACACACACACGTATATATGTGTGTGTGTGTGTGTGTGTGTGTGTGTGTTGTGTTGTGTGTGTGTGTTGTCTGTGTGTGTGTGTGTGTGTGTGTGTGTGTGTGTGTGTGTGTGTGAGCACTGCAGTCAACCCCACTCTGCGTAATGTTTATTCATCCATCCTCCAAGGTTGCCCATCTCTCAAGCACGAGAACTACAATCTCCATCAAGTGAGCTGGTTGACACTGGAGCCTCTGTTGTTGTTGTTGTTGTTGTTGTTGTTGTTGTTCCCTAAAATGTAGCTCATTAATTAAGCAACGTTAAAGTTAGCATGCTTGCTAACGGCAGTTCCCTTAAAAAATAAAGCAGCCAGCGCACCTTGCAAAGGAAATAAACCACCTCCACCCTCCTCCTCCTCCTCCTCCTCCTCCACCCCCGGGCACAGCCGCGTTAGCAGGACTGACAGGCTGCTAACATTAGCCCCCTCGCTGCGTTAATCATTCCTATAAATACGATCCCTGTGCAGCGACCTGGCCTCGCAGATATCCTCACGACCTAAATCTGGGCGCTGCCATCGTTGGCTCGATAGCTGCAGGCCACAGAGAGGACCCCCCCGGGCCCCGGCCCCCCCCACCGGGTAACCTCAGGTTGGGTTGCCAGCTTTGCTACCAAGCTAGCATAGAGCTAAGCTAAAAGCTAGGGCAACATGCTACCCCCACCAGCCCCCCCCACACAACCCCAGCCCCCCCACCACCTCCTCCTCCACCTCCTCCCCTGCTTATGGCTACAAGGATGCGGTTATAAGTGGACATTTGACAGTATTCAAACCCGACAGTGCACCTGTCTGACCCCGTGGTGTCCGCCCCTGTGCACCGGGGCGGACTGCGCAGTAGCCCCGGTGCACGGAGAGAGAGAGCTGGGTGAGTTAGCGGTCGGTACTCACCCCATCAACCAATCCATGGCGCTGTTCTGGAGCTAGCTTTTAGCTAACGTTAGCAGGCAGGGGATAATAAAAAAAAAAAAAAATCCACCAAGGAGCTGGAGGCGACCCCCTCGAGTTTATCCAGCCACCACCCCTCGCTGCCCTGGTTGCCTGGCTCCCTGGCTCCCCCCCCGAGTCCCGTCGCTCTCTCCTCGGGTCCCGTCGCCTCGCTGTCGCTCTCCCCCAGCTGCTGGATGCTACAGCCGGTCAGACACACACACACACACCGCCGCTTTAAACTTGGAGCGATTGTCCTTGTTTTGCTCCTCAGCTAGCTCGGATCATGAAGTGGCAGTAACACGAGTCAGATCGGTGTGTTAGCTGGTGACGGGGAGCGCAGCGTTGAGTGACTTTGAGCACGAAGGAGAGCAGGAGGAGAGCAGGAGGAGAGCAGGAGGAGAGCAGGGCACCGCTGTGTGGCTCTCGCCTCGCCTCGCCTCGCCTCGCCTGGAGTCGCCGGTGTGCAAGTGCCGCCGCCGCCGCCGCCGCCGAGTGAGGCTCGTCTGCTGGGTCGCCGCTGGTCAATCCCCGGTAACCTCTGTCATGAAGCCTTGTATGGCTGCCGTGTTTAGCTGACAGCCTGAACCTCCACTGGAGCCGCTGCTGTGTCTGTGCGAAGTCTAAATCGGAGTCCGGAAGTAAACACAAACCCGACCCACTGTCCCTCCTGTGCGTAAAAATGCGTGTCACGCAGGGCTGTGTGAACATGGATGCAATGGGATATGTAGTGAGTTTGAGTCCCAGTAAAAAGCTTGATGGTGATTACATCTGCTGTTCACGTACAGTTGAGTTTAACGTGAGTTATAACACCTGTGATCTTATTCTAGGGCAGTGCGCAGATGAAATTAAGATTTTAGTGCCGCAGTTCTCTTTGAAAACCAAGGACAATTAGACAATGCATGCAACTGCCCCCGGGGGCCACAGACCCCCAGGGGCCCCAAATGTCAATGGGTTTTGGTAATTTGATTTGTTAGGGTATTTGCACCTCAAAAAAAAAAAAAAAAAAGTACATGTTGTGCTCATATTCCTAAATAATCTAACTCATTGCCACAGACAATAAAACACAAGCAGTATTAAAAAGAATAGTGTCAGGTCGTATAATGAAGCTGCCGTGTTACAGTCCGCTGTGCTTGATGGGAATCTGGGATGACACAAAATGTACATACACAACGCACAGAGGGTGGTAGGTTGGGGGGGTTAATAGGGAAAGAAACCCTCCAAACAAAACAAAACAAAAAAAAACCCAGAGTAACGTCATTGGAGGCCGTAAATCTCAACAGGGAGGCATTCATGTGCACTGACCCTCACTGTGAACCTGTGCAGGCAGGGCAGTTACAGTAATGACCAATGTATCACCGGCTAAATTATTAAATACTATCAGCCGTACTGCTCTGCTCGTTCTTAAGACTGGGCAGCTGCTTTTAATGCCTTCACCCACTGACGAGCTGCAAACACTTCATTCAAAGGAGGAAAGATGACATTTGATCAGTTAGTGTAGATTTCTCTGGTACGGCTGTGTTTTTGTCAAATAGTGCTAAACAGTTGATTAATTGATCAGGAGAAAATTAAATTTCCAACTCCTTTTTAAAGTCATTTATCAAGCGATACTGCAGGGCGATGCTGTAAATGGAAACATGTTTAAGTTCTGGATTGTTGTTGGAACAAAACATTAACGACACCAATTACAGATTAATGGAGAATTATAGTGACTGTGAACTATAGCTAGAAAATACTACGTGATTTAGTGTCCCATACATTCTTTATCTTTTACCATCTTCTTTTTTTTAATTTAGGGGTTTTCTATTTTTGGTCCAGGAATACATTTAATTCTATAATTCATCATCAGGCACTCCTGCTTTAACCTCAACTCTTGACCATTCACTCTATCTAGCTTTTTTAATTCCCTTCTTCTTCTTTTGACCCATTTTCCTCTGTAAGAAAACCATCAATCAGACAGATGCATTTAGAAAAAAAAAAGAAATGGGATCAATGTGCACTCTGCCCTATAAAGATGAATTCCCCCCCCCTCTCTCTCTCTCTCTGATAGACCATTAGAGCAAGACGTATGGTCGTCATCAAATCAAACCACTCCCCTCTTCCTTCTTCTTTTTCTGTCTCACCCTCTCCTTCCTCGTTCCCTCCCCCCTCCCACCTTCCCTTCCTCTTCCATGCTCCACTCCGCATCCTCGGGCTTCTATAAATAACAGTAGCATGCAGGTGACGGAGAGGGCATTCAGAATAGGGAGCCCTGTTAACAGGAGGCAGAGTCACATGATTGGCTCGTTGTCACTCCCAGCGCCCTGCTGGCCTCCAATCAGCTCACTGAGTGGGCGGAGTTAAGGTGATGATTGACAGGTTGGCTGGTGGTGCGTTCATACCCTGGTTGTAATGCTGATAACCGCCACATGGAGGCGGTGTGGGATGTTTATTGACTCAGACACACACTGCACATTTACTCAAGTCTCCGTGTATCATACAGGAATGTTGTAAATACCTGAGGAATCAGCTGGTCCAGGATCTGTGGCACAAGTGGTCTTCCACTCAGGGACAAAATGGAGAGAGTCTCTTTTCTTTCCTCGATGCTGATCCAGTACCTGAACTCTGATGTGACACCAGTCTTTCTCCTTTTAAAATCCATGCACCCTGTGTTAGGATTATTCTCATACAATGAGGTATAACATGATATAACTTCACATCCTCTGTTGAATGTGCTGCATGTGAAGAAATGTCATATATCAGCCATCTTTTATGGCTTGTGTGAATATTAATTACTGAAGAAATAGTATTTAGAGGGTTGGTTCATCCAAATTATAAACATTATATTGTTATCTATCTAACTATCTTTGCATTTATCTGCATGCTCATAGCTTCACAACTTTGATTGGTTACATCTGTTTGGGCAGAAATAGACAGCAGAGGAAATTTTGGTTTAATTTTCCATCAATTTGTGAGATTTTGTGTGTTTTTTTTAGAAATTTCTGTCCCCACTAATGTACAGTTAGTGGATTTAGTTCCACGAATCAAAAGAAATAAATCAAATCAATGCATTTATTGTTAAATTATCATTATTTACAACAATTTACATGCCAGGAGAAGTTTATTGTTTGAGCTTTTATTGTGAACTGATGTCTTCATATCTGATCTAATAGATGAAGATCATATCTGTGCATCACAAGCCTCTGTGCCTTGCTCGTGAGCAGCTGGTAGGGTCTGGCTCTCTACCTGTTTATATTAGCAGTTATAGCCTCTCTGGTTGCCTCTTTTTCACAGGAGACATTTAACAACTTAATGATAGCTGAATTCCATTTACTTTATCTCCTCCAACCTCTCCATTAACTCTGTCTGACCCCTGCTGTTAATGACTCCTATTACCAAATTCATGACAGCATTTCAGCATGACTACAATGACTTATGCTCAGTCTGCAATGCAGTGACCTCAACATCAGACCAGTGAACTATGTTTACCTCTCGAAAGGATATGAGCTGCAGTGTGTTCTCAAAAGGCCGGCTGGTGCCAGAGATGTGCTCTGTGGGAAAATGAGCCGGGCTCTGGTCAGGTGCTCGTCTGAGTTAGTCAAGGTCACTTCCTGAAATCCATCCACTCGTCAATACCGAGCCATTCAGAGGTCGATATGTTCCCATTCCAACATCAGCCCGGCCCGTGTGGTACATGAGAGAGCTCAGCGTCAGTACATCCAGTGTTTCTATACAATGCAATGCAATATAACCGCCCTCTTTCAAACGCTAGCACTGTCGACCTTATTATGTTTAGATTTAGCTGAGACCGACACATAATTGTTGATTATTAGTTGTTGACAGTGTTGTGGTGGTTAAAAAATGGATTACATATTATAAACTGTATCTTATGTACAGAGGGGACAGAGAGAGCTAAATATTACACAACAGCAGGGGTGACCCTCAAAAACGTAATGGTGGGCCACGGGCCAAAAGCAAGCACCTGTTCTATTGTTAAGGTGCAAAATGGTACTAGGATCCCAAATTCCCTTAACTGACTGACTTCCTGTGAGCAAAAAGTAAATAAAACAGCATAAACAGCTATTTATACTATACATATATATTTGATTTAATTAAACAAAAGTTTATGCATTACTTAGGATTTCAAATAGGCCTTTGAAGAAGCCAGTGTGCTCAATACCAGTGAATTTAACACCTACATGAATTGAAGTCATTATCAACGCTATTAATTACACCTGTGCTGTCCCTGCCATGACATACCAAAGTATCTGTCTCCACAAAAAAGACATATTATGAGCTTCATAGAGGTGGTATTGTTGCATGGCTGTTGTAGTGGGTGGCATTACACTGTGTCCACTTGGCGTATCTCCTTGAAAGGGGCGTCCAAATATCTGTTCTGATCACAGCACAGATGATTTGTTCTGTTGTAAAGAAAACACAGTCTTACAATTTCACTGTTTATAGTCATTTGTAGCGAGGCCCGTATGTACAGTAGGAAATAAAAACATCCATAATTGGTCCTTTTTCACAGCAGAAGGTTTGACTTTGCGTAGTAGAAAAACTAATGACATTATCAGACGTCTTTTTTCCTGTAAAATGTCAAAATAACCTTATTGGAATCAGAAAAATTCTCTGAGAAAACACACACACACACACACACACACACACACACACACACACACACACACACACACACACACACACACACACACATACCTACAGGTCAGCTCAGTGCCAGGGTGAGTGAGGTATTGGCTACACCATGACTGATATGATTTATTCATTGCTGGCAGCGGTAACTCAAAAAGCCATTAGGAGGCATTAAAACGGAGACACCTCACATTACTCTTGCATGAATAATAAATGTTTAATAGATGCAATGAGGAGCGTGTGCGCGCGTGTTTGTGTGTTTTGCATAAATTACGCAATGACTAGTTGGGACATTTGTTTTGAAGCTTTAAAAAGAAAATTTTTATGCCCTGATAAAACTAAATCTGTGTTTTGGTTGGAAGTGTTTGATCCAAAAAATCCTTCTAATATTATTTTCACAAAACGCAAATGTTCAGGCAACAACCAGAAAACAGAGCTCAAGATCAGCATGTTGTCTGAATTAAAATAAACTCACAATTAAATATTGCTAGTGGAATTTGTCTGTTCAAAATTTAAAAAAAAGTACATTAACCTAACTAGTTTCATGCACACAGACGGATTTGTGTGTGTGTGTGTGTGTGTGTGTGTGTGTGTGTGTGTGTGTGTGTGTGTGTGTGTCATAGACATGTTTACTGTTAGCAGTCTGATCTCATCACTGATGGATTCATTTTCAGTTTCTCAATAATGATCACATAATATAAGGTGATGATAATGGCCACTTGCATGACTGGGTTTCATATCGTCGGCACCGCCAAGTCTGTCTGTCTGTGCGTCGATTCAGTATATACTGTAATGTGTGTGTATGTGTTTGTTCTTGTGCTTGTGTCATTGCTGGCTCCACGCTGACGGCTGATGTCTTGGCGTATGAGTCAGTCTCAGCCACATTACTCATGTCTGCAGACCTACCTGGCTCCAGCGTTCCCATCCTAGAAATAAGGAGCGAGGTGGAGGAAAGAAGGGGATGGGTTTGAAACTCCAGATGGAGAGAAAATTCAG